GTAACGAGTGCCAGTTGGGCCCCTCTCCACTGCAGGGAGCTGGTCAGCTTTCCCCTGACAGCATCCCCGGCGTGCTCTCCCCAGGCCCAGAGCGAAGTCTGCGTCCTGCCGGCCGGGGTGGGGTAGGAGAATCCATTGTGCAGAGAGCCAGGCTCTCGGGCGGGCGCTGGTGTCCGGGTCCATCCACGCAGGACCCTGCTGTTGGGCACAACCACGCTGCACTGCTGCCCACAGGTGGTGCAGACCCAGCGGCTGCGAACAGACCTGGATGGCTGCTTCTCTGCTGGGTTCGTGTGGAGGAGGAGGGAGCGCAAGGTACGTGGGAGCGTCTCGCGGGCCACTCATGAATCTCACAGCCAGGCACCAGCCAAATCCTCCCAGCCTGGCACCCCATGATCACGGTCACTCAAATTGCCTCCTACCTCCAGATTCGCTACCAGTTCCTCCCTGTTGGTCCGAATCGAGTAAAAAAAGGCTGATCCCCACCCTGGCTATTTCCTCCACTGTCTGGAACAAGGAGTCGTCCCCAACACATTCCAAGAACTTAGTGGAAATTTTGGTTTTTGCCGTATGACTTTCCCAACAACTGTCCAGATCGATCAAGACCCCTCAAGGCTAGTTCTGATTGGTTCTAGAAACACTTCATCTACCTCTCTTCCTAAGCTGGTGTCTGGAGTAGATTCCTACCATGATGTCACCCCTAATTTTACCCCTTCTGTCTTTACCCAGAAACTTTCAACTGGGCTGCCTTTCAGCTCCTCTTGGACATCAGAACGAGTGTATACCTCCTCCCTCTTTTCTGCCCGTCCTTCCCAAACAGCTGTACCCCTCTAGGCCAATAGTCCAGTCATGAGACTCATCCCAGCTCTGTGATGCCAACTAAGTCAGAATTTAGCTCACGTACTAGTACTTCAGTTCTCTGGCACGTGTACAGACATCTAAGCTGTTCAGCAGATGTTCCCCCTCTGATTTCCCTCTTGTTGTTCCTATGACCCTATTGTCATTCTCCAACATCCAGCCCTCTGTTAATGTCGCCTTTTATGCTTCTCTGTGGGCTTTCATCACCTGCCCCTTTTGAACACAGTAAAACTGTCTGCCTGGCCCACCCAGCTGGGCTGTGGGATCAATAGACCAGGTGTTTCTGTGGGCAGTTAAATGCCTCATGCTCACTGATAAGACTAATACAATTCAAAACCCAATTCCTGACTCCCCCTTTTGGGGAAATCGTAGTCTCCGGTACTGCCGTCCTCAACCGCCGCCCGGCCCTGCAGGCACCACCGGGCACCGCCTGCGCAGAGCAAACGGCTTCCCCTTCCCAGAATGCCTTGCCTCTGAGCCAAACCTGCGGTGGAGTCACCAGTCCCAGCCTGTCTCCAGCTGGCTGCGAGTCACCCTGGGGCAGAGCGCTGGCTGAGGCCCCCTCCTGGCTTTCCCTGCTCAGCAGTGGAGAGGGGCCTTGCCCCGGACATTAAACAGCTGCCTGTGTTGGGCGAAGACAAAAATCCAGCATGTTGGAGCAGCAATCAGGATACAAACCAGCTGTGCTGCTGGAAAAGCCACAACGCCTTCAGGGCAGTACATCACCAGGGCCCAGCCAGCCGCGGATTTATCAGAGCTGCGCAGTCCCGATGCTCTTGGACGGCTCTGAAACAAGGATGTTGCTTACACGAGACCCCAAGAGGCTGGAGGCCTTTCATCTGGGCTGCCAGCGGTGACTGCCGGGCACAGGGAGGCCTGAGTGGATCAGCCATAGGGATGTATCGTTGAGTCTGGCCTCGAGAGGGCTGAAGCCACCACTGGCCCTTTTTGGTCGCGTCGGAGATCAAGTCCCCGCACTTCGAGCCCTGAAGGTCGGACGTGAGATTAGGAGGGGACGTTACCTAGCCACGCACTGGCAGTGGCCACATGGTCGTCTGTGATTCACTTGGCTGCACCAGACCTGGAACAACCCCACAGAGCTTCACAACGCCTGGAGTAAAGCCATGGACAGTCGGCGCTACAGCCCCTCACTGCCTGAGCGCGTTGTGGTCAGGCTGGGACACCACCCAGAGCCTTTCCGAGCACTGCCCATTGCAGGCCTGACGAGGGGAACCAAAGCAGCCTGTCTTGTGCTTCTCTGGCCCCCAGCGCTGTAGCAACTCCCTGCCTTTAATGCCCAGAGAGGCTGAGTGGTCACACTGAGTCTGTCAGAACAAGGAATTGTACCCACTCTCCTGAGTGCCAGGCTGGTGCCCTAAGTGCTGGGCACCCTTCCTCTCCTGCACCAAGTGACGCCTCCCAGGCTCTTCCTCTTGACTTGCGACGGCTGGGAGTTCTCCCCCAATGCCAGCTGACACTCCCGAAGAACAGCTGGAGGCCTTCCTGCCTCTGGAAGCAGGGTCCGTGGACTTCGGGAAGACCCCATAGTGTCTCCACCCCCGCAGAAGAGAGATGTGGGCTGGGCTTACAGGTCAAACAATACACCTCCAAGGTTTATTGGGCTATAAAAGGGAAGGGAAGAGACCCCTGTAGTTCGCCATCACTGGGGGGATTCCAGGGCCCAGAGCTCTTGAAATCACACAACGTTGGGTCCTTCGGCCAAGGGAGTTGAGGTCTCTGGGGACTGAGAAACCTGCTCAGGCAAATTGTGACTTGAAGTTTTAGTCGTAGAAAGGGAATTTCTACTTTTCTTTGCTTGTCCCCCTTCCTGTCTTCACGGGGTATCATGCAACTCTAGGACTCTTCGTTTAATACACTGCAAACCAAGGCACTGCTGTGACTGAAATAAGCGTGTGGGGCAAACCCCAGTTAAATTAACGAGCTGCAGTGAATTGACCTTTTAAAGGAGCAACGGACTTAACTTCTGTGAGTGTTCCGGGAAAGGGGTGGGCGCTACAGGGAGATGGGCTGGGGGAAAGTCGGGACCGGGAGGGCGTCGGGGTCATTCTGCAAGAAGGAAACCAGGCGGCCGAAGCCAGGGTGTGAGCCCCATGCTTGGTGGCAGGGCTATGAGACAGCAGCTTCGCAGTGAAGGTACCAGAGGGGCAGGGCAGGCGGTGACAGCCCGTCACTGGTCTGGGTTGAACCCCAAAATGTCTGTCTGACACACCCTGTCTTCCTGTGCTCAGAGGAGTGTCGCAGTTCAAGAAGAACAGCTGCACCAAAGCAGAGAGCTCAGACAGGTGGTCCAGGTGACTGAACCAGTCACAGCTGAGACCCCTGTTCCCTTCTGAGCAGGGCTTAGCTGAGACCCCCAGGCGAGGGTCCCTGCGGGTGGGGTCAACGGAAGGGCCCAGGAAGTGGGGGGTGGGGGGACACTAGCCATGTTATCCTGGGTCTTCCTGGCTCCCCAACAGGCCTGGCCCGCCCCACCCCTCACCGCACCTGAAGATGGTGTCCCAGCTGCCCAGGGAGCGGTTCCAGGATGAGGCCAATGGTGTCACTGAAGCGCCACGTCTCCACAGGGAGCTCCTGCTCCAGGCACCCAGCGAGCTTCGCGCCAGTGAAAACTGAAGTGACCTCGGTATTTACGGCAGCAGCTGCCACTCCAAGGGGAGAGGGGGCACCGGACAAGGGGTCCAGCAGGTATGTTATGGGGAAGCATTCCCAGGGTGTGTGCCAGACCCACACAGCTCAGCTACACAGATCAAACCCAGAGGGCACAAGGAGCACACACACACTGCAAATCACAGGTACATTTCAGTGGGCTTCCGCTCAGGCCTTACGTGACCCTAAATGTTCTGCCCGTCAGGCTCTCGCCAGCTGGCAGCAGGCCTCCTCTGGAGAGGGCAATGCCAGGAATCCCTGGAGCCAGGAAGACCGTAGTTCTAATCCCGGCTCGGACGCTAACCGACCACGTGGCTTTGGGCAAGTTACTTCTCCTTTATAGCCTCGCAACTCAACTCGACCCAGACAGGCGCTGGGTGCAGGCTGGGTCAGAAAACAACCCGCTCCTCTCAGGTTTGCCTCTGATCACCTCCTCCTGCCCGGCGCGGCTGCAGCTTGCCCCACTCCCGCTGGCCACTGCCACCTCCCTTTGCTGCACGCGGAGGAGTTGCAGCGTCTCTCGCTTCGCCGCAAGCTCAGTGCAGCAAGGCAGCGGCCGCAGGAATGGGCAGGAGGTGTGCCAGAGACGGATCCCGGGCAGGGCGAGGGGGAAGTCCCCAGCACAGGTGCTGCTGACTCAGGTTTGGGCTGGGTCTGAAAACGACTGAACCCACTCAGGGTCAGGTGGGCTCGGGCGAGGCTTGAGCAGCCCTCTACTTAGCTTCCCCGTGCCTCAGTTTCCCCCCTCAATAAAATGGAGATATACCACAGCAGGGACAGCTCACGTGAGTCAGAAAAAGTCTATGTGGGAGCCTGATCCGCTGCTGGGGATGGAAAGATCCCATGAACTTGGGTGTTGGACCGGGCCCTTCTTGTGAGCGCATGCAGTGCCCGCGTCTAGAGGGCACTCCTTTCCTAGGCGCAGCGGACACGCTTAGTCTGGGAGCTCCTTGGGGCAGGGACTAGCTGGTAGCCTGCGAGCGCTCTGGGACAGGAACTGTCGTCTTGCTCTGGGTTTGTAGCACGACAGGCTCCTGGGCCATGACTGGGGCCCCCGGAAGCTCCCCCAGCACAGATCACTCGGTAACAGTCCCTGCAGACACAGAGCGGGTTAATGAAGTTTGCAAAGCACCTGGAAGACAGAAGGCCCCATACAGTGCTTGGAAAGGGCCCCATCCCCCTACTTCACGCTGTGCTGTATTGACAGAGAACATTCAAAAGCAGCTGGCAAAGATTATGCTCCAGAGTCGAGCCAGGCATCATCTCGAGCGTCCTTCTCTATTATCTCTTCACTCACCCCCACGGGGGGGGACAGTGGGCTGAGAGCTGTGTGGGGGGGGGGGGTATGGCCATGTGATTAGCAGGCTCAGAATGCCCTGGCCTTTCAAGCACAGCTGGGTCCTGCGCGCTAGCAGCTGCGGCTGGGGAGGAGCGATCACGCCGGACAGTGCACTGCTGCTGTGGGAATCAGGGTGTCCTAGTTCTTTTTATATTTTAATAGAAACCCAAGGCCTCGTTGAGGTAGCGAAACAGAGAGCGATCGGCTCCCTGGGACTGTCACAAAGCAGCATCCTCACGGTTATCACGTCCTCCATGAGTCACTCCCGGGAATGGCGCCGCAAGCCCCTCCCCTTTGAGAGCACCCGCCCTTGCTCACAGGGAAATCGACTGCACGTTTTCAATGGCCCCGGCTGGGTCTGCTTTATACAGCATGAGGTGGCCCTGCACCTGGGCGGCGCTGATCTGCTCGGAGACGCGCAGGGCCTGCTCTGCGAACTTGTCCCCGGCAGCCGCCGGCTGGTCTGGGTAGAAGCGCTGGAACATGCGGGAAATCTGCCAGCGGGAGCAGGGTCCCACGTACTGCTTCAGATCCACCCGGCCAGGGCGTACCAGGGCTGGGTCCAACCTGCAGAGGCAGCGAGACAGGCAGAGGTGCGGTCAGCCAGCAGCGTGGAGCTCAGCTCCCAGGGCCTGCGCAGTCAGAGTCCGCTCTCCTGGATGTGAGGGACCAGTCCCTGCTCTCTGACCTCCCTTCGCTGGTATCCCGAGGGAGGGGCAGGGGGAGACGGGTGGGCCCCCTTATCCTCAATACCTTCCACGAGAGCAACGGGGATGCGCCGCAAACCCCGGACACGGCTTTGTGTTTCCTCCAACGTGACCATCCCCCTTAACTGCCACAGGCTGGGAGGGAATCCAGCCCAGACCTCGTGCCTCACGCACTGTTGTGACATAGGAGGTCCGGGCAAGATCCTGCAGGGGGCTTCTAGCTTGGTGGGGTCTCTGTAAAGCAACTCAGAGAAAGCTGGGAAGAACCAGACAACAGCCTGAAAAGATCAGGCTTCTCCTGGGGCACCCAATCTTCTGGGCAGGTAGTCACTCAGAGACGCCCACCCACACGCCTGTGACAGGCTTTCTGCTGTGAAAGGAGCTTCAGCGAGACAGCAACTGTCGGAGCTCTGCAGTGGAAACACCAAGGAGGGGGAGGAAGGGTCTCCGGGGGGCTTCTCCAAAAGGGACGGGAGGAGACGGAGCGAGGGGAGACGCAGGTGGAAGATCTTGGAAGATCACCGAGACTGTGGAATGGCAGCGTTAGGAAAAGGGGTACGTGGGGAGGGGAGCCCGGTTCTTTGGCTAATCCAACTAGACAAGAGCAACCCCTGAAACGCACACTTCAGGGAATGGTCCTGCCCTGAGCAGTGAGGAACAGAGGTGGGAGCCGGTTGATCCGATCTCATCTCTAGTGTCATTGTTCCCTAGCACCCAAGCAAGGGGGGTTCCCTAGCGCCCAAGCAAGGGGGGTTCTCTAGTGTTATTGTTCCCTAGCGCCCAAGCAAGGGGGGTTCTCTAGTGTCACTGTTCCCTAGCGCCCAAGCAAGGGGGGTTCTCTAGTGTTATTGTTCCCTAGCGCCCAAGCAAGGGGGGTTTCCTGCCCTGGGGTCCCTCTCCCACAGGAGAGGGCTCTGACCTGTCCACGTGGTTGGTGGTCATGAAGACGATCCTGGCCTCCGTGGAGGCGACGCCATCCAGCGCGTTGAGGAGGCCACTGAAGGTCAGCCGTCCCATGCCCTGGTAGGCAGTTGGGTCTGGAGGAAAAGGCACCACCGATGTCTCAGATCCAGGGCAGGTCTGGGGCACCCAAACTCTGCCCAACAGACAGCCGCATTGGCAGCTTACCAGCCGCCGGGGAGCCGCCCCTATCTGCCATCAATCAACACCGCGGGCCGAGACGGCTGTTCCCCGGCCAAGTAAGCCACTCTGCATCCTGCGCTCCCCCGGCGCCGCCTCACTATAAACCCAGCTACTGGCATGTTTCCAGGGATACTCTGCCCGCAGCGCAGCCAGCAGCCGACTGCCCACCCCACCCCACGCCACGCTCAGTGCAGGGGAGCCAGCGTGGGCACCCAAGGGGCTGAAGAGCAAAGGGGAATATACAGCCAGGCAGGGTGTGCTGCCTGCTCCCCGGGAATCAGGGACTCCCGGCCCAGCAGGTGAGACAAAAGCCACCTCAGAACAGCTCCTCCAGCCCCCATCATTCTGCTCGCTGCTGAGCCGGGCTGGGACCTCGGGGGGAGGAGAGGCGTCTCCACATGGCACCCAGGTGCTGAAGACAAGGGCGAGGCCTGCACCGATTTCCCCGGGGGTGGGAGCAGGCCCCCGGGAGGGGGAAGGGCCGGGACTAACTCTCCACAGCGAGGTCCCGGCTGACGAAGGCCGCGTCCACGTCCTCCAGGAGGATGATGCTCTGCTGCGGCGCCACGCTGAGGAGGTGGTTGAGGCGGTCATCGGAGAGGCTGCGGTCACTCAGGCTCAGCAGGCAGATGCCGTACTCCAGCTCCCCGGCCAGGGCCGTGCTGGGAGGGACACAGGGCAGGAGTAAAGCACCAAGCCGCAGGGGAACCCCCGGGGGAAATCGCTCCCTCCCCAGTCCCGCAGGGCAGGGGGCACCTATATCAAACCCAACAGAGGGCAGGGATGGGCCAGGGGGTTGGGTGCTGGCCTGGGATTCGAGACCCAGGTTCCATTCCCAGCTGGGACACGGATCTCCCGTGTGACCTCCGGCAAGTCACCATCTCTCTACACCCCAGCCTCCCACATGCAAGCCCCGCCCTGCGTCCTGGGGGGGTGGGAGGATAAATGCAGTAAGGACTGCATGGTACTCAGTAATGGGGCCCCTAAGTACCTCCGGCAGAAACACCTGGCGCCTCGTGCGTCGCTCATCCGCTGGTCAAGGGGGTCCGATTTAGTGTTACCCCCAAAGCACCATTCATCTTATGGGAGTGGCCTGCTTAACCTGTGAATTAGCGCGTGGGGGGCTGGGAGGGTTTTGGCGTGTGGAAATAAAGCAATTAGTATTTCAGGGGGCGGGTGAGGGGCAAGGGGGGCCCCAACAATATTCCTGCTTTGGGCCACCAGCAGGCTAGCAGCACCTCCGGACACAGTCCTTTGGCTTCCTTCTCTGCCGCACATTTCTGCCTTGCTAACCGAACCCTCCTCCTCAGCGAAGAGCCAGTCTCCTTAGTCCTCCCTCCATGGGGCCGAAGGGGACCTAGAACTCCAGGAGACGGGGGAACGCTGGCACTGCCCTGCGCACAATACTCACATGAAGCTGCTTTTCCCACAGCCCGGGGGCCCGTAAAGCAAATAGCCCCTCCTGTACGGGATTCCTAGGAAGAGAGGGACCCATCAGAAGCCGGCAGCGCGCCCCACACCCAGCCTGCCACAGAGCCCTAAAGGACAGAACCTAACTACCGATCACACCCCCGAGTCCCAGCGTCACTGAAAGCCCCCTGAGCTGGGCTCTTGCTGGCGTCACTCTAACACGTTGTTCGTGCCCCGCCTGCTTTCCCACGGCAGCGCTGCCGTCGGCTCTGGTTCGGCCGGGGACTGGAGCTGAACCAAGCTGGCCCGGCAGCGGGGAAGCTACAGGGTGGAGGGGTAACCTGCTTGCTTCCTACAGTGCCAGGGAGAGGCAGAAGAGGCAGACGCCAGGCACAGAACACAGCCTTCCATGCAGCAAGAGCCCCCCCGGGCTCTGAAGTCCCCCCGCAGGGCTGCCTAACGCGCTGGGCCTGGATCACCAAGGCAACGCTCCAGTTGGTGAATCGGGCCCACTGAGCGCAGGAAGGCGGCGCCGCCGACCCAGTGCAGAAACTCTCCCGTTTCCGGTTGTGGACGCTGCAGCAGGACGCAGGTGCCCCACGGGCAGCTGCAAGGATTGTACAGGACACCTTTTTCGTGCACAGAAACCCAGGGGTCGGGGTGGAATAATGGGGCGTACCTGCGGGGCTAGGCTGGCCTGGACTAGCTAAGGGGCTGCAGGTCTGGATCCAGGTGCGCTGGGAGAGGTGTGGCAGGCTGGTGAGGAGCTGGGGTAGCCGCACAGCACCTGCCCGCATCATCCTGGCTCAAGGTAGCATTATTTGCCCCTCCCTTTGACCCCAGAGGAAGGGCAGAGCCATCAGCCCGGGAGGGAGCCTTGCCTCTCTCACTGTACCACTTGGGGTTCTCGATGAACTCCTTTACGTCCTGCACGATCTTCTCCGAGATCCCCTTCTCCAGCACCACGGAGGCGAGCGGCCGACGGCGGCGCGGGAAGCCAAACGGCCGCCATTCGGCACCCATGGCCGTGTACATGACTGTCTTCCCCTCCTGCTGCCTCAGAGCCAGTTCCCTGGCTAGAGAGAGACAGAGACAGGGGCTGGCAGTGAAAGGGAATCTCCCAGAAGGCACCAGGCAATGGCCTGGCTTTTATATCTGCCGCGGCAGGGCCCTGCCGAATAGCCATACCTTCCTGGAGGATGCTGAAGAAGATCTCCCGCTTGGTGCCCAGGGCTGTGAACGTCACTGACTCCCAGGGGGTCCCCGTGTGCAGGTCGATCATTTGCTTCTCTCGGTTCCGCTCGATGCGGATCCACTTCCTCTGATACCTGGGAGCAGGAGAGAGAGAGAGAGGCTGAGCCGGGGGACGACGCGAGATGAGGCTTAGGAACATCTTCACTTAAGCACGACAGCGGCACCGCTGTGCCGACACAGCGTTTTAAGTGTCCACCTGCGCTAACTCTTTTGCACTTCTACAATCCCACCCTGCCGCGTGAGTTCCACAGGTGGGTTCTGCACCCCGAACAGAAACAGATCCGTTTCCGTTTCGGATGTGCGGCGTTAGAACTGCACTGAGTAGCATCTGAGGGGCATTCTCGAACCCAGTCCCTGGGCTGAACGAAGCCAGTGCCAGAGGTACTAGAGACGAGCTCAGCAAGCTATTCTACAACAGCTGCATCTCCCGTACTCGTCTCCTTTCCAGACTAAGCAGCCCTGTGCGCTGATCCAAATCAATGGGACCCTTTCACTGACTTCAACGGGCTTCGGATCAGGCCCGTAGGCTCGTCAAGAATTTCTCTTCACATGAAGCCCTCGGTTCCGGCAGGCAGCTGGTCAGTTCCCGGCCCGTTCCTCCCCCGCTCTGCCCCCTTACCAGATGAAGTGGTTCCCAGGGCTGGGGATAAAGTCGAACTTGGTGCTGATGCGCCCGCTCTCGTGTTGCAGGTACGAGGTCTCCACGCTCAGGTGCTGAGTGTGCTTGGCATAGTGCGAGATCCAACTCAGCAGCCACTGGTAGCTCTTGTCCTTGCTGGGCACCTCCAAGGTGATCATGTAGTGTCGGCGAAAAGCAACCGCCCCAAACTGGGCCCCCTTCCGGGCCAAAGCCAGAGCCGTGCCCACCCCTACCAGGCCAAAGCCAGCCCCGAAGTAGGGATTGTCCTTCAGCGCTAAGACAAAGTCGGAAAAGGGCATGGTGGGGCCGGGGGAGTCACGCGGCTCCTTTCAATGGCATCGTCTCTGCCAGCCAGAAACAAACCTGCTGCTAAAACAAAAAGGGAAAGACTGAGCCATGGGCTGCCGATGCCAAAGCTCAGCACAAGGGGGCGACATAGCTATAGGGCCGAGGTGTCAATCATAAGACCCACAGGCGGATCTGGCCCAGATTACGTCTTTACGAGGCCCCGTCCACGTGGCACGTTCAGATTCGTCACCATCTGAGCTTTCTTTAAAACGCAAAGCTAGTTTGTAGCCCTTACGGATGCGGAGAAAACCCTTCCAAACCTGAACCACGGGTAACGGTACAGCAACATCTGCCTGTAGCAACAGACCCTCGACATGGGGGAGATGTTACAGTCCCGAATGTACGTCTCAGCCCACCAAGCACAATTAGACCCAGAATTCATCCCTCTTCCCCTAGTGACTCTCACCCTGACAGAGAGGATCCCGGCTTGCTTTGGGCACAACTCTCAAACTGAAGCAGCACTGGTGCCCATATGGGAGCCCAAGCACCACTGTCATCAGGCCGGCTGCCTCCTGAGTGCCCCCTCGGGGCCTAAGGTCCCGCTGCGGCAGCCCCGCCTCAGTTTCCCCACTTGTTAGGGCTTTCTCCATTACATTACCAAAGCAAACTTTCTGCAAGTTCAGCAACCCCCCTCCCAGGGCTGGATTTCTTAATGTAACAAAATAGTTAAAATGAGTTCTCCGCCCCCGATCAAGTCCATGTTCCTAGTCCTGCTGGAGGCCTCCCCGCTCTGAGCCTTTTCTCTGAAAACTCGGGGGTCCCTGCTGGACCCTACTCACCTTCAGCACTCTCCAGTCCCCCTTTCCCAGAGCATTCCCCCCCCCAGCATCCTGCTGCCCTGTACAGGGGAACCACCTGCTCCCTGCCCAGGTTCGCCATTAGTAACTAGTGCTGGGCCCTTAAAGAGCATCACCACCCTTGAGATGCAGACCCAGAGCAGATTGCAGCCTTCACCATGGAGCAGCGGCCAGCAGGGAACGCAGCATCTTGACTCCTGGCCATAGTCCTCAACGGGTCGGGGGCCCCATAACTTTTTGTGCTGCAGGAAGAGAAGCAGCCCCTAGAGTGCTACAGTCATCTGGGAGGATGCAGCCAGGACAAGGCTCTCGGGAGCGGGGACAAGGAGTTCTTGGGGAAGGGTGGAGAGTGGTGGAACACCACGATAGGCCACAGGAGGAGTCTGGGGGTACAAGAGTGTAAAACCAATCTCGGCTGTCTCAGGTGAAAAGTCAAACCTGAGGCTTTATCATTAAAAGCCTCCGGGCTGTAAGCTGTGGGAAAAGCCTGTTGCAATTACTGAGGATTTATTGCTGCAACTAGTCACCATGCACCTCCGGTTGCATCCCGAAGGCATGTCCCGGGCAGCTGGGGGCCTGGAGGCGACGGAGACAGAAGCAGCCTCCCCCGTCTGTGATGGCAGTGGAAGGTCCAAAGCCACAGAGCCGTCCTGGATCAAGCTGTGGAAATGGTTCCCTTGTAAGACAGCGTGGGGTAGTGGACAGAGGACTGGAGGGGGTTCTATTCTTGGCTTGATTTAGGGCAAGTCCCTTCCCTTCCATCTCCCCGTCTGTAAAACACAGGTGATGATACTGGCCTTGTCTGCAAGGCGCTGAGAGATCCACCGATGCAACGGCTCTCTAAAAGTGAGGGATCGTTAGTAACAGGGGCATCGACAGGATGCAGAATTTGGGTGGCAGTTAGGTTTAATCCTCAAGTCCTGTCCCAACCTCTACCTCCCTGATGTTCTCTTGCCCTGTTACTGAGGGAGCCCGTCGAGTAGTTTGCCTCACATGTTGTAGAAAAAGTGCCGTATAAATAAGTTGATTGTATCGCAGGGACCTGCTCTCTCCTTGGGCTGCACCTTCCCACCAATGAGGAGATCCAGCATTTTTCAGTAGTTGATGCCCTTTACGTGCATCAGTGACTTAAGCCTCACGTGGCCCTGGGACGGGAGTGGGGGGAGCATGACCGCTCCCTTTGCAGAGCTGGGGAAGCTGCAGCTCAGAGGGGAGCAGGAGGTTATGGCAGAGTCAGGAACAGAATCCAGAAGTCGTGGGTCTCCACCTGCTCAACAGGCTGACTCCCTGCACAGCCAGGGAAAGAACCCAGGAGTCCTGACCCCAGCCTGGAACCAGCCAACACATGGCCGCAGCTCTCAGCGGGTAGGGAGATGGTTGGCTCGGTGCGCCAGCTGCAACAGGCAGCATTACAAGGGCCATGCTGAGGGAGCCTGACCCTGCTGGACAGAGGCCCCGATCCCGCCACACCTCCTCCTTTCATGGGGTCTGCACCTCCCGTAAAGGAGCCAGAACCCCCCTCTCAAGTTCCCCTTTCATGGAGTCTGACCCCCTTCTGAGCCTTCCCCACTGTAATAGGATCTGATTCCCCTGACCCCCCACCACCACTGTAAGGCAGCCTGAATCCCCCAGACCAGTTCTCCCAGCCCATGAGGTCTGATCCCCACTCACCCTATAAGGGGTGTGACCTCATGGGGCCGGCCCCCAGCAGCTCCCCCTCTGCCCTAGCAGCCCCTATTCCCTTCCACCCCCATGGGGCCAGCCCCCAGCAGCT